AAAAATATACAAAAATAGGCCTTGCAGATCATATGCCTGGACTGAAATGCAGCACTAGAAATTCTCTGTCTCACAGACAGAAATTAAAGAAATACTTGTGATTCTCCTCCTGTTCATGCCCTTGGTATAGATTGAGACCAGAAGGTAGTTACTCTACTCCCTTTTCCACTCAGCTTCCTCAAAAACTGCAGAGGGAAAAAAATAAAAAAGGGTCAACTCTGTAGTCTTAATGGAATTTAGAAGTGTAGGAGGAGAAGTGACTTCACTCAAAGGCTGCAGGTTTTAATGCTTGGCAAGAAACTGGGTATTTCTAATTGCTGGCAGCATCTCAGAGGAATCATTTGCTTTGTTACTAAATTACATGCATCGAGGGCACTAAAATTATCTATAACTATAATTCCTTTTTTTTAACCATCTTCAAAAATATAGCTGTCATGAAACCATTAATATCAATGTGTTTTTCTATTAATATTTCACATTCGGGACTCACAAAGGTACAGTCACCATACTGATATTCATTATGTAATAAACCCTTTGTCAAAACCAGTATTTTATGCACTTAATTGTGCTGAATTTTGTTCAGGTTAACGTCTTTTTTTTGAAAAGGGCAATAAAATATCCACCAATAAATAGGCTGGTGGCTTTCCACATGAATGGTGTTCTATTTTTATTTAAATTATGTATCTTATTTTATTCACCTTTCCTTCTTGCGTTTCTGAAGTACTGGGCTACCAGCAGCTGGAACTCAAATAGCTCTAATTTGACTCTTAACTGTATAATATTTTTTCTGTGCAGTACTCTGTGTCCCTAGATCAGTTACACTTGCTGGACAAAATGATACAACTAGCTTTTCTGGCTATTGCTGCTGTGAAGTCCATTAATTAAACCACTCTTACAGTCTGGAAACATGTCTTTGATTCCTTTTTCAAATGCATCCGTAATAACATTTCTCCAGTTTGAACTGTCACACCTTTTTTTCCTGCCTTTTCCTGCCTAAAATTATTTCATTCAGTGAAAAGGAGTTCCTTTTAATAAGTAAAGTATTTGAATAATTCAAAGTGTACCTTTAAATAGAAAGGCAGCACTTCTGGAGCTGTCCGAAACAGAACCAAAACCTTGTGTAGTTTGCATGGATTCTTAAAAAAAAAAAACAAACAAAAAACCAGCCAACATGCTCACATTTTTTTGTCCAACACCCACGGACGCCTTGTGCTACTAACCCAGATAGAACATCCCATGGCGGTTACTGCACAGTTTTGCTGGTGTTCCCGTGACTTTGGTGGAAGCTCTAAGGAATATCTCAATTCCAGATACCTGTATCTGCAGCTTTTCTGAGTTATGCTCACACCAAATGTTGTGATGTGAAGAAATTCACCTTGTTGGGTATGCTGAGGCTGTAAAGTTTGACTCCCACTTTTCTCCTTTACTGAGATAATGTATTGAGGTCTAGATGCCTGTCACTGAAGATTCTTAAGCTCCCACGCTCAAAGCTAAGCTGAGAAGGCTAATGAGAGAGTTCAACATTTCCCTGAATATACCTTTGGTGACCCTGAAGACAGAGATGTGGTCCAATTGGACCAGCCATACTCCCTGATTAGATGGGCTTTTCACAACCTGTGAAACAAAATCATGCAGTTCCACTCATGTTCCATTCATAACTTCAGCAGAACGTGGCTGAAGTGTTTCTTGGCTGTATCATCCCTGCTGCTGCAGCAACAGAAGCACTGCAAATGCCAGACAAATGAAGAGGAAGCCCAAAACCATCCACACAGGAAACGCAAGAAACACCTCTACACTTCCAGAGACCCCCTCCCAGCAAAGTCCTCTATTTTGAAAGGGCAGCAGAGAAAAGCTTAAATTACAGTAGGCGTCATCTAGTCATGTATCATGTTTCAGGCCACAGGGCAAGAAAAGCTGCAAGTACACTTTCTATGTAGTATTCATGGACTTGCTGTCTTCCTCCATGAATTTGCTTACTTTTCCTCACTGTGTCTCTTCCATATCTTCTTCTTAACCATTAGCTGATCACTTGAACTCCCATGTATCTCCTGTGTGAGGTCCAGAATCACTCCAGGATTGATTTTAATTCCATACCTTCTGAGCCTCTTCCTCCAGGCCCTTTAGCTCTATTCTAATCCATGTCCTGTAGAAATACAGGCTCATGTGATAGCACATTAAAGAAGCAAAGAGGGAAGACAACAAAAACATAGATTTACTTTTTTTTTTCCCCTTCTGGTAGCATAGATAGAATATTAAGCTGACCAGATTTTTATAAAATTGGTAATTAATATGTAACATACCAAGTATTTTAGAACTTACTTATCCCAAGCCACCATTGGAGCAGGTATACCTTAGAAGGGAGAGACTGCAGCCTGTTAAGTACTCACATTGAAGCATTGGAAGAGTCAGAAACGAGGAAGGGCAGAGAGAAATCACTACATCCTGACTGCACACCCCCTCATGCTGCTCATTGCCTCACTGATGGGACTGAGTGTGACCTGTGGTGATAACAAGGGTGTCGAGAGGAGTCTGGAGTGAAGTTGAGCCTGGGAAAGAAGGAGGGATGTTTTTTCCCTAAGTGTTCTAACGTTTGTCTTTTTTTAAGTTTCCCAATACCCAAATCTGTAATTACTTATGCTGATTGACAATAAATTAAGTTAAATTCCCCAAGATGAGTTCATTTTGCCCATGACAGTGATTTCCCTATCTTTATCTTAGCCTAAAAGCTTACTTGCACCTGTTCTTCCTGGTTTTGCCCCTGTCCTGCTGGTGTGGGAATTGAGCAAGCGAGCAGCTGTATGGGTACCTGACTCTTGGCTGGGGCGAACCCACCACTGTCATCTGGACAAGTGGGACAATGAAAGAACTGCCAGGAGAACAGAGCTTATTAAAGTACATTTTCTGATGCTTGGAAGCCATCTACTAGATAGATAAAAAAGACACAAAATCCTTCATAGCTAAATGCTGTATTTGTCATCTGAAACTCAAAGGATGATAATTTTCAACATTTTTAAGACTATAGAATCACGGAATGGTTTGGGTTGGAAAGGATCTCAAAGATCATCTAGTTCCAACCCCCCTGCCATAGGCAGGGACACCTTCCCCTAGACCAGGTTGCTCAACACACAGTATATCACAATCCTGCAAATTACTACCATGGGGAAAATACTCAGCTAACATGAAAACTTGACTCAAAGACACAGGGAATTATTAGCTGCTATATGTGCTAGAGACTTCAGCAGTTACTGCACACAAACTTGCACAAGTGCATTCAACTTAGTTGCCTCCCCATTTCAATAGAGTTGAACTATGGCCAAATGCTTCACTAGAGAGGAAGACGTTTTGGTTAATTGCCCTCCCAAGGCATTAACCTTTGAATTATGCAAAATTGGGATATGTCAGAAGATGAAAGCATCCAGGACCCATTCTATCTCTTTCATGTTTTTCAGTTTTCCCTCCCAGCAGCACTGTTCAGCATGCACAACCCAGTGCCACAGCTCCCAGCAATGCCCCAGCTGTCCTCCTCCCTCACTAGCCCTGGCTGACACAGACCTGACCCAGAGTTCTGTGGTTCATGAAGAGAGATGAAAATCAGTCAAGCCCCAGGAAGAGAAGTTTTCTGTATTTATCTCCTGTCCCTGATGGGTACATCATCACCTCCTATCTCTGGGGCATGTGAGTTTCCTCAGAAATCTTCTGACAAATCTCTAAAAAAGCCTCTGCAGGCTGCCTGCTCCATCGCTGGCCAAGAGCAGGGTTGGACTAACACCACAAGGAATGCTATGAACATGAACAAAGGTCACTTAGTGAGGCAGCACCCCTCCAGCCCAGAAACCACACCAGGCTCCTCTCCAAAATAATTTCAAGGGACCCTCAAAGACCCAAACCCTGCCCTCTCACAAAACCAGGCCCAAAATGAGTTTGTCTCCTGCCAGGGAGTCCTTCAAGCACCCCGAAACCCTCACAAGCCAAGAGGGAAGGACCAAGGCTTCTGTGGCACCAAAACCCTAGCTTTACTTTTTTCTCAAAATCAGGAGCTTTTTGGAAAAAGGAAGACTCCAAAAAAAAATTAGTGCTGTAATGGCACTAATGTAACAGGGTCACTGGTGGAACAGCTGTAAGACTGGTGAAGTATAGAGGGACAGGGAAATCCAACTACCAGCAAAAAAAAAATAAAAATCAGCAGGTCCTTTCTGTGCTTTGAATGGACAAATGTTTATTTTCCTGGACAACTGAACTATTTTGAAATCGTACATATTCCTTAAATCTGTGCTTTAAGCACATTAAAAACCACATTTGAAAACTATTTCCTAGACATTGAACTCAATATCCTGAGCCTAAGCAGGTGAACTTAACAGCAACAAAAAAACTACGACTGGGCTATTTTTAGTTAGCTTCACCTCAGCAGCCACAAACTAGACAAGAAACAATTTCAGTGTTAAGAGCTGAAGAATGAGTATTGCCAGTATGTCTTTTGCAGATAAAATGAAATACGTAATGTGGCTCATACATTTTTTGAGATGCAGTTTTTAAAAAAAGACTCCATTCAAAACCCAAGACTTTTTACTCCATTACACATAAAAGATATAAATTTCTTCAGCTGCTCTGTTAAATTCTTAACACACATTTTCGAGTTTGGGGAAAAATCCAAATCCGATGCGGAGGTTTCATTATGTTTTCTTCTTCTTGCTAAACTAAAACCAGTAAATAATAAACACATCCTGCCTTTAGCTGCCTACAGCACTGCATTTAAAAAAAATTGGTAATGACTCTGTGCTTCTGGATTTGTATAGCAGATTTGTCTCTGCCACTGATTGGAACAGATCCTGCAGCACCTTTCACTTCCATACTACCAGTTAGTTCCAGATGCACTTTATTCAGATTGATTTTTTTAATGAATTTTTCTTTTATATATATATTTTGTATATATATACACACACATGTATTTCATATATAATATACATGTATTTCATTATATGTAAAAATGAGTATTTCTTGCTTTATACATCTGTAAAATATATTATCAGAGTGACCGGTTAAAACTCAGTGCAGCCCCAAGCCTGTCTTGATGTTTCTTAAGATCCTGTGTAGAGCTCTCTCTGCATTTATCTCTGACTTGTGATTATCCTCACCTGTAGCTCCTTTCTTCACATCCCATTTCTGTTCCTGTCATGATTTGGCTACTACCTCTGACATCTGATAAGCCAGCAGATCTGTTTCAATATGTTCTTTCTGGATTACTGGGACAAAATCTCACCTAACTTCAAATATCTAGGGCAGAGAGATTTATGCTGATCACTGCCAGCTCCCTGGTAGAGACCCACTCCTCTGGCTATCTGTGTGCCACTGACAAGGCAGAGAGCCCAAGGTGACCTAGTTCAGACGTAGACATACAAATTGGTGAGGTAAATTCCACTGTCTGTGTTAGATCTTTATTAATCACCTGCTATTAATATGTTCAAGATCACAAAAATGTACATTTTGACAATTTATCACTTTCAGCTGTAATGTTTTTGTATTTCTATTCATAAATAATATGCAAATCATTAAAAAGCTCACTATAAAAATACATATTTTTTGTATGTCTGCTTGTACCAAAACAAGAATAAAATATAGACAAATTTATTGATAGCTGTAAATGTTACTGTTGATGCAAAATAGACAGCAATATTCTACACTCAAGCATTATAACATTTCCCCATGCAGAGCAGAACCAAATCTAAAGTAATAAAATTATTTCATTCAGTGAAAAAGAGTTCCTTTTAATAAATAAAGTATTCGCTATGCAAGTTTTGATGAGATGAAATTATTACAGCTATCAAACCTTCTTAATTAAAAGCTACAAGTTACTGAACAAAACTGAACTCAGAAACACTTCCAGGAAACAAAACTGCTACAATACAGAACTTAAGTGTTTGTGTTTATAAATATATATACATATACATACAAATAAAAGGAGTGTAAGGGATAAAATTTCTTTCCTTTACACAAAGGAACTGAGTACTCTTCATTGACTCCAAGCATTACATTTAAATACCTCATGCAACTGCTTTAGCTCCTGCAGGCCCTGTTCACATTTTTATTACTGGTTAGCATTTTCTCCTGAAGGAACTGAAAAACAAACCTGCCTGTCCTCGTATCTCCAGGATAAAGAAAGGAGAGGGTTTTTTTCTTAATTAATCCTGTTTTCTTCAATACAACCATATGCCTACGGCACTGTAAGCTTTTCACAAATATTTTGCGAGATCTAAGACTTCTTCATATTAAGGTCCCTTATTCTGAAATAATCAAAACACAATTGATTCTTTTAGAAAACAAAACTGAGCAAAATGTTCCATGTAGTAAGGTAAATTTCATTTAGTTGTCCCAGACAGAATTCTTCAAACATGGAGATCTAAATAAGTGATAGCAATCTTAACCAAGGAGTTTAATACATACTCAGAAGATAAAACGTATGCAACACTACTGAATTCACATAATGCATAGAAAATGAATATTTTCTGAAAATGCAGTGTTTGTGAATGTATTCCATGCAGAGTTTTCTCAGATGAATTGCAAAGGAAATCTTGGCAGGTAATGTTGGAATCATCCCTTAAAGGATTTACAAGCTGACAAAAACCACACGCAGCTACTGGGTCTAACTCTGTTGCCTGTGACCGATTACTAGTGGTCTTTTTAGCTATGAGAAAGCTACGTTCTTTCCTCACTTATAAAGCGATCTTCCATCCATCTGGCACAGTATTCTTGCTGATTTCCCCTGTGTTAAAGTTCTTCACCTTCAGATATCACTGCTGGGTGCAGACAGCTTAATTTCTCATGCCTGAAGTAAGTACAGCCTGCAGCTGCTTGCTCTGCCCATCCCTGGAGAGAGGCACTCCAGCAACAAGGGAAGCCAAGTGAGATTTGAAGCAGCTACACAAAGGCCCCAGTTTATGTCCTCCCCTGCCAGGCAGCCCCAAGTCAATACAACTTAAATATCTCGGAGTATAAACTGTGGGACCCCAAGAGTTGCTTCCTCTGTGATTCATCCTCCCTAGCTAGACAGGCAGTAGGGAAAGGCAGTCTCATTGCTTTAGGCACTTGAGTTTAACCCATCCAGAGTAAGCCCTTAAGCCAGTAATCGAAAACCCAGCATTACCTTTGCTTTCTTTGTCAGGCAGTCCAATTTTTTTTTGTCTGACAACCCTCAAATGCGATTTTTTTTTCCCCAGACACTATAGCAGTATGTTTTACGGTTTTTATGTCTGACTGCTGGTGAACTGATCTGCAATGGGAAAGCAAAATGTTTACACAATAAACCCATAAATCATTCTGTAATCATTAACGAGCATTCTCAAGATTTTACTGCTAATGATTAGAAACCTAATTCACTGGAACTGGTCACTCACTATATTTTACAAAGGAAAAACAAGTCACTGGTTCTTCACGTTCTGAACAGGGGGATGTGATAGTAGTGGTCATCCTCAGTCAGGAGAGAAATCTCATTCCATTCCCTTCGGTATTCATCTGGATAGTTTACTTGAAATTCCTCAGTATTAAACCTATGCAATCTGTAAACTCTTATCTTTACTTCAAGTACATATCCAAGAAGAAACAGTTCAACCTAAAAATGAAAGACATATGTAAGACATTTATTTCTAGACGTAGGAAACTAAACTCATGATAATCCAAGTTAGGGCAAGTCATTTAGCTTCAAAACAGTAGGCAAGGAATAAAAGGGGCCCTTTTGCAAGAGGAGTAAGAAAATTAAAAGTTTGAAGGTATTCTCAACAGTCCTTCTACTGCTCTTTTGCATGCAGAGGATATTCTGGTTAATGCTTGACACTTTGGAAACATCCCTCCTCCACCTGATAGGATATATAACCTGCTCCCAAAGCCAGCTCACACAGCGTACCGGGGAGCAAGAAAGGACTAGCTATTATCAAAAAACTGATAGACTTTGAAAAACGGGAAGTCTGCCACCTTGTGATCACTTGCTACATAAGGAAAATATAACAGCAAAGGGAAAAAATTTCCTTGTACTTCACATATATGAAACTTGAGAACTGGCATCTTCATTGACACTTCTTGCAAAGGATTGCTTAGTCTGGAGAAATGCTTTGGGAAAAGTCCATTTCCTTGGGCAAAGACAGACAGAGCAGAACTTGTCCAGTTATAATCAAACAGCTCCTAAAGATGACTGTGTCATGTAACAGTTGACTTGATAACTGAAATTGATTATAAAAAGTAATTGCAGCCATTGGAAAGGGAAACTACTTGCAGACTGGCAGCATGGAGCTTTGATGTCAGTACTTAACTCCTCACTAAATATAAAATAGGAAGCAAAAACCTTAACATATTTATATGTTAAGGTTCATATTTATATGAACAGTAGAGTTCAAATTCTGTACTTTTAGAAGACATTAGATCTCATGGGAACCAAAGAATGGGGAAAAAACAGAGGGATGCTACAGGGTTTGGCATAGTGGAACAGATAGGAAAAGCAAAACAACAGGTCAAAACTGCATAATCTAAAATTATTTTATATATCAAAGGTATTATTTTTCTAAACTATGTCTTACTGACAGCCCACAGCATTTATTTTTGTCCCAGCAAGAAAACTGTCCACTCTTACTATGTTTTCTTTCCTAGAAAATAAATGGCTATCCTCAGTCCACTTCCCTGCATCCCAAAGAAGAAAATGGGCCAGCTATCATGGATGATAAATTATCTAATCACATCAAAGATGGAATAAGTTTTGTGATTTATATTTCATTTGTATCCTTACCTGGTCTAGGCAAATAGAGTCACCTATGGAGTTCAGATGATTCATCATGAAACTCAGAGGGTCAGATGAAGTATCACGAGCAAAAAGAAGGCTAAAAAGATTATGTACAGGTTCTTCCCTGTTCTTTATCTGCTCATAGGCTTCAACAACTTCATAGAGCATGATGAACTTTATGGCCTCATATAGTTTGTGTTCCTTGCTTTCATCAGAAAAGAGCGTATTACACATGTTTCCTCTTTTTTCATGATCTTTAGTAGCACTTATTTCAGCCCACTGGAAAGCACACAGAAGAATATTAATAAAATTATTAAGAAATCTGTTTAACACAAAAGATTGCAAAACAGGAACAGATACCTTTTCTAAGCATAAAGCACCTATTAATCAACATGGCTCAGGCACAACAGCATTTGCAGGCAGCAACCCACAAGATGACCAAGGCCAATCGTATGAAGTTCAACAAAGCCAAATGCTGGTTCCTGCACGTGGCTCACAGCAACCCCAGACAGTGCTACAGGCTTGGGAAAGAGTGGCTGTGAAGTTATTCAGTGGAAAAAGACCTGAGGGTGCTAGTCAACAGCTGACTGAGCATGAGCCAGCAGTGTGACTAGGTGGCCAAGAAGGCCAATGGCATCCTGGCCTGTATCAGGAATAACTTGGCCAGCAGGATCAGTGATCGTCCCCCTGTACTCGGCACTGGTGAGGTCACAACTTGAAAACCTGGAGAAAACGAGGCTCAAGGAGAGACCTTGTCACTCTCTACAACTACCTGAAAGGAGGCTGTAGCGAGGTAGGGGTTAGTCTCTTCTCCCAACTAATGTGATAGAACAAGAGGAAAAGGCCTCAAGTTGTGCCAGGCAAGGTTTAGATTGGATATTATGAAATAATTCTTCATCAAAAGGGTTGTCAGGCATTGAAAGAGGCTGTCCAGGGAAGTAATTGAGTCAGTTTCCCTGGAGATATTTAAAATATGCGGAAATATGGGACCTGGGGATATGGTTTAGCGCTGGCTTAATGGTTGGACTTGATAATAGAATCATAGAATCAACCGGGTTGGAAAAGACCTCTGCGATCATCAAGTCCAACCCTTGATCCAACACCGCCATGGTTACTAGACCATGGCACTGAGTGCCCCATCCAGTCTCATCTAAAAAACCTCCAGGGACAATGAATCCACCACCTACCTGGGCAGCCCATTCTAATGTCTGATTACTCTCTCTGTAAAAAGATTTTTCCTAATATTCAACTTAAACCACCCCTGGCACAGCTTAAGACCATGCCCTCTTGTCCTACTGCTGGTTGCCTGGGAGAAGAGACCAATGCCCACCTGGCTACAACCTCCTTTCAGGTAGTTGCAAAGAGTGAATGATCTTAAAGGTCCTTTCCAACCTAAATGACTCTATGACAATGAAAATTCTGTGGCAATGGGAAAGAAAGCAGAGACTCCTCCTGTGAAAATAGGCAAAAATCCATCTCACTGGCCAAACACCATCTTTATAAAAATAAAATGAAGTTGGGAGCTAGACCTCATTCCCAGCAACAGCATAATGCATCACAGAGCTGCTCTGAAACAATTTGTTAATTATAAGGATTTATTCATTCTGTTGCCTTGAAACTTTTTTCTTTAAGAAAATCCACTTTAAATGCAAAGGAAATACATTGGAGAAGAAAATGCACCATCTGTTTGCTCCTTCCCATTTGGGGAGGTAATCCAGAAGCATCTCATACAGAATGTTTATTTTTAATCAAAATGATGAAATACTGCACTTGATGGCAAGGACTAGCCACATAGCAACAGCTGTGGGGAGGATGGCCTCCCTAACTTGCAGAGGACTTTTGAGTACTCAGCCTAGTGGATCCCCAAAAGCTGGATTCCCCTGCAGGAGAGGTGATGGCCTTCCCAAGTAACTCAGCAGTCTGAACCTGGGAGAGAGGCTGACTGCCACGGAAATATGTAACCAGAAGCAGTTCTCTAACTCTGTCTCAAACCATTCCTCAGGGCTTTTATTCCTCCCAACCATTTCCTAAATACTCACATTTGTCTTTAATGCCTCCATACATTTGCGCAATTTCCCAAAGGCATTGGGACCTGTGTATCTTTCTGGCCCAAAACTGTATTGCTGAATCCAGTTACAACCTTGAGAATACAAAAGCTTTTCAGGAAGCTGGGAAAAAACAAAAGGCAAGCTAATCATAATCATAACAAGAAGTAGAATATAAAGTTATATAAACTTGTCTACATACAATTTACGATGTGGTTCTATCATCTAGTTGTAAAAAAATCAGCCTCATAACTGCTATGAAGGAGGATCCATTTGACTGCCAAGTCCTTAAGAAACTTTTAAAACAGGGCCAGTCAAAAAAAGATGAAAATATGCTCTCAGCAAAATATATAACCCACACTCTGGAAAAGCTGGGTATTTCCAAATTCGGTGAGGTACTTAAGATTACAGACACCTTCCAGGCTGCACACGCATCTCTACAGGCAGCAGCAATAGCTCCCACCTCCTTGCTGCTATCTGGAGCCCAGGGCAGGATTTCTGCTGCTCCAGCAACACAGCAGTTCCCAAGTAAGCCACTGGACTTTGCATGGATGTGGATGACGAGGAATCAAATATCCTGTTGTGTTAAGGGAGTAATATCTGTCAGGGTGGCAGTAAAATTTATCCATCCACTTTTTCTTATCTTTCCTTCTTCTTTTTGTTTTTGAATATAATTTATTAATATCATTATTCATATATATATTTTTAAAATATCATTATTAATATCATGTTCACATAGGTATGCTTATATCATGGACAGTTTTTCAGTTAAGTAGTTAAATGGGTTTGAAAACCTTCTCTTTAAATTCTGATAATGATTCTCTACTTCAACAGCCAACACGTCAGTTTCCACACTGAACAAAGCTTCCTTCTGCTGTGCAAGGATAGCTGAACTGTGTTCATTTAGAATATGAATTTTACCTTCAATATATCTCTTTCCTTCATCCATGAAGGAAAAGGAATGCCTTGGCTGAATATCTGAAAAAGCACCGCTCTTACTGCACTATAGTTGTCTCTCCTGACTAGTCTCAGGTATTTGATATGACAGCTCCAAAACAATTCTTCATAAGCCTAGGAAAAGAAAAAAGAAAATAGCAATTAAAAATTTTAAATCTTGGACAAAACCCATGTTGTTTGTAGTCCAGTTCCAAACTACTCATAAGAGAGGGCTAGGAAAATAAGAAAGTATATTTTTTAAGTTTTATATACACAAAAGTGTTACACCATTGTGGTTTTTGCAAACACCCTAAACTGGCACTGCCCCTTAAGAGTGACTCTGCACTCTCTAAAAACCCAGGGACTTGTTCAAGCCTCTGCACTGTTGCTAGCATAAACATTCACATGGTCAACCAAATTACAGCACATCAGCAAAGATTTCTGTGGCATAACAGCTTTAACCTCAGCCACTTCGCAACTTGCACTGACACATGAGATGCAGCAGCAAAAAGGCAGAAACAGGTATCTGGAGAAAACTCCTTTTGGCAAAAACATCTCCTTACACTGACCTGAATCCATTGTGCAATGGTGACCTGAGGCTGAGCAGATCTGGCAGCTCTGTGCTGAAGCGGGCAGCCCTTGTTCCAGCTACACACTCCCTGCACTTCCTCTGCATTATCTCTGGCTCCTATCTGAGCCCTTGTTGAGACAATTTGGAGCAATAAACTTGCAGAGAATTAGGAAGAGTCCCACAGGCTGCTGCATCACTCTTACAGTTTGCTTCCTGAAGGGGGCAGCAGGATGCTCTCAATCCCTGGTCCTCTTTCATCTCTGTTCCTTCCTCACCCCATCCCACCACCACTTCTCAGCTGCATTGTCTCCCCTAACTCTTACTTTATCAGCTGTGATAGTAAGCCTACTGAAATCTTCCTGCTGCTTCAGCAAGCCTGGGGGGGCTCTGAGAAGGCTCCTGCTGGATGACCTGCTCTATCAGCTCACCATCAGGGTGGACCACATCCAAGAGAAGACATGAGAGCTGGCACAAAAGAGGGAGAAGGACTGCTTAGCTAGAACTAGGTGAGAAAGGAGAGACAAGACAAACACGGGATTGGCCCTTTTGGGAACAGCAAGCATGTTACACTAGTTAAGGATCTCGCAAAACCTCATCCTAAGATGTGCTCTTTACAGTGATAACTTTTTCCTGATATAACCAGCCATCCATTGGCTGCTCCATATTAGGAGTTTCCTTTTCAAGTCTTATCATCTAGAAGGATCATGGATTTTCTGAAAGGCCTTTTTGCCCAGTATGTGCTTGCAAATTTATTAGAAGTTTTGCTATCTTTTTGTTACTTGTTCCTCCAAATAGTTTTTGGCCTTCTGTGTTGTTCTGTGAACTTCTGGCATTGCTGCGTTCTTGCATTTAATGTGGCAAAGTTGGATCTTTTCTCTGTTCATCAAGTGAACACAACTCCAGCTTTCTGAAAACTATCTTCTTTTTTCTATAATTCCCTTATGCTGCTGTTTAGCCTTATCAGCTTCTTTTTACCCTAAGTCCTTCTTGGTATGCATTTGCTCTGTGATTCGAATACCATGACCTACAGCTACACACATGCCAAATACACTGGTGCACTTAAGCTGTGTGTGTCTTGCTTGCAGCACCTTCCACAGGCAAAGATGCCGGCACAGAGCTGGAGCAGAGGGATGGTGTGCAGAGGCATGGGATGGCCACTGACCAGCACACTGGCTCCATGCCTGCTGGGCACCACCTAAGCTGGCACAGGTCACATGCAAGCTCCTGCCCTGCCTGCCTCCAGCTGCAGCTGATGGCGCCGGGGACAAGGGGCCTTAGCGGCTGCTGGGAAGGCTGCCAAGCACTGGCTGCTGTCACATGGACCTTCAGAGCTTTGAAGAGAACTGGATTTGATGCTTCATTCCTCCCTGGAATGAGAGTTTTTACTTTAAATCAAAGGCTGGCCAAGTGACAGCACCTAAGACCAAATTATTTGGGCTTTAGCACTGGGGATGATTTTCCTTAAGAGCGCTGTGTGTGTTGCTGGTGCTAGAGGGGAGAATTCAGAGAATATGCAAAACTAAAACTTCATCAACATTTTGGCCCATACTGTTGCAACCTTTATTTAGACCCATGTTCATGCTGCCCTTTTTGCTTTTCATTTGATAAGCCAGTGTAGCAGGCTCTGGCAGCTGCTGCAGCTGGTTGCACTGGGAGTGCTATTCCTTTCCCAGGTACTAGTTCTCCCTCGTCCTCATGCAGCGATTAAAATTTAATTCTTACCTCCCTCATGTGTTTGGCCTGCTTTGTTTCTCCTTTCCATTCTCTCGCACTATAACCAAGTAGATCAACTTCTGTCAGCACACTGAGATTCCCTAAATTGAGATTGATTCATAGATTAGTTACCTTCTGCTGTTCTACATCTAAAGGGGAGTTGCAGGGGGATTAATGAATGTGGTATGACAACAAAAAGATTACTTATGAGTTTTCTCTGAAGGTAGTTGCTCCACCTGAAATACAAATGATAAAACAGGTGCCAATTAGAAGGTGTAAGAGGTCAGTATTTACTGAAATAAGCAACAGCAGGGAAGATGGAAGTCTGCTTAATAAAAACCTACCATTTCAGTAGCTGTGCTAAAAAGCTGTATAGCCTTCTACAATACCAAAAAACAGCAGCAAGGAAAGACATGCTTAGCATTAGCTGCACTTTCACTTTTTGCCACATGAAACACAAGGATTCCTTGGTAGCTGTTGTCCAGGACCACACCTCATGCCTTCCTAAAAGAGACATAAAAAGAGACGAAAAAATCTTATCACTATTTTGAAATACTTGTTTTGATTTGTTTTCTTACAAAGAGAAAAATCATCCAAGTATGATACCACTCCAAATGAAATACAAAACATGACATGTAAAAGATGACTATATTTTACTTAATACATATACATATACGTTATACACTTAGTTTTTCAAGTTTCTAGGGGTTTGAGTGCACATAGCTCACATTTCCAAGCTTTCCTCTACACAGTGGATATAACTATATATATAGTTACTGTATTGTAACTATATATATAGTTACAATGGAGTCACAGGAAGACTGGTATCCAAGCAACTGTTCAATAAAACAAAAAAAAACCAAAAACCAACGAAACAAAAAAAAAAATTTTTTTTTTTACTTCAGGATGAGCTGTACTATCATTACTTTGTCTCTTAAGTCATGGCTTTAAAGACCAGGAGTTCCTAGGACTTACTTGTAGTTGACAAGTGCGCCATATAAGGCAATATTAGCTGACTGAGCATCATACAACTGCCTGGGGAATTAAAGGAATGTTCCTGCCTCAATTTGAGTAAGTTTAGGGTCAATTTAAAACTCCACAGGAATTTGGTAGAAAGCTCAGGAGATCATCACAAAGGGAGTGCGCTCTCACTGTTCTTACAGACATAAATGAGGACATGGTTCTGTCATGCCATTGGCATTACAGACAGGGTTAGGAAAGGTTATGGTTGTCTGTTGTTGATAAGAAGACCTACAACTGAGAGAGGGCCTCAGGACTGAATAGTTGTCAAAGGCAGCATCTGCTCCCTAAGTGACAAATTCGTCCTCTGGATGAAATTTGAGTATAGGAAATTCCCAGAGTTTATGATCAACAGCTGCTCTGTTATTATGTCTTTAGTAGAAAACTTTATGAGAGCTCAACTTTTTATAAAGGCATCCCCAGAGAGGGCTGTAAAGATCCTTCTACGGAGAGTCCACAGAGGGAATTACTCATTCAGCATAGTTTTATGTCAGCTGAACTTCTGCCCCTCCTGGCTTTAACAGGAAATTTAAGAGGGGCTTAAGTTTTCCAAGAAAGTTAAGCCCATGCACTGTTGACAACTATCCAGTCAAAGAGTTACATACGAATCCCAACCTTGGCAACGAGATAAACAGCAACACACGCATTTTACAAGCACTGTTGCATATATACAGAGCACTGCTGATATTTAGCTTTTCCAAATATTCTGTTGTTTGAAGAAGTTTTATTACAGGATGCCGTATGCAAGTCATCCGGCGGCAAGACACAGACCTCATCTCTCCCGTGAATAAAAGGCAGGTTAAGAGCTGTAAATGAAAAGGTGTTAATAAACTTTAAAGAGGTAATTCGAGATGGGGTTGGGCTGCTAGTTCCCATTTACACAAAAACTGTGTGCTGTGAACATACAAGATGAGAGACAGGTCTTCTCTTAGCTTCTACTCATAGGTTGCACCAAAGTGTGCATATGTAGCATGACCGGGAGTTTTCCCTGCACACGCTGAGGAGTAAAAAGCAGGAAATGCATTCACGAACAACCAAGAAGATCAAAAACCTGAAGCCCCAGGAAATGTTTATTACTGATGCCAAGTAACAGACAGCAAAACATCAGTTGTAAGGTTTGGAAATGGAAAACCTCATGGAAACACTGGGACACTCCCACTTAATGCTCACAGACCCATATACACACACTCACATCTTACTAGGGACACTAGTAAGTACATTGTCAATAAGCACACACATTTCTACATAGAGAGCAACAGCTGAGAATTAGTAACAGATGACAGTATCAGCAGAATCAAGCCATCACAATTTTTTCTCTCTCTTTTTTAGAATAAAGACATCAGTATTGAAAAACCTCAGGGGACTCTGAATAACTGAACCTTCTGTCAACTAGAATGGAACTTGATGGCTTACAAACATTCATCCCATGGATCAGTGGGTATTCTGGATTTACACTGTTGTATACAAAACAATGATATTTAAAATTAAATTTGTTAACACCAAGTTAAACATACAGTACCAAAAGGAAGATACTTTCATTTCGTTACTTAAAATGACTGTATGGTTCACTCCCAATTTTGATTTTGAACAAACTGGGTCTATAAAAAGCAAGAGCTGGTTCATCTGTTAAAATGATATACTTTGCTTTATGGAGTACCAAGAAATTCATAGGAATGCAAAATATCTTCCTTTACACCTTTTACAGAAAGAAAGATGAGAGGTTTGTATCAGCTTTTAAACTGAATCAAGCAATCTTTTGAAAAAGCTTTTGATGGTAATAATCCTAAAAAAAAGTACTGGAGTTCAACAAGCCCCCTTTTCAATGCATATAGTTAACAGGTGCATGAGCAACTACCCTTCAAAGAGTGCTGGGAAGCACTGGCTTACTCATTTCCATCAAAACAAGAAATCCATGTCAGAGAACATGAGATAACCAAATATTGTTCACCCCTTTTTATTTAATACGGGGAATTTATAAATAGTTATTACTCTAATAGAAAGCCTAATGGGAGATGGGGAAACCAGCAAACAAGTGATTTTGAGTATTTTTGCTACACTTGTATTACAGCATACCATGGACTTCATAAACTTTCCCTCCTGTCATGGGAAAGCTGCTGTTCAAACAGCACTTTGTGATTCAGTTACTACTTCTGGTGCTTATGTCACACTTAGAAATGTAATTACATTTTTTATTCGAGTAAATGACATTTAGAAATGGCAGTTGGATTGTGAAGTGTTGCTGGTAAAAATACATCATGAACATAAATTAAAGAAAGCAGCAGTTTAAAATAGATATTTCCACCCCCTCCCAGCCCTCTCAGAAACTGAAGAGCAATTAAATTAATAACACACTGGTGGGGGGAGTGAAATAGGCTCACAGATTTTTAAATCCATTCCCTGTGATATGGACACAATTCATCCTGTTCCTCAGGAGGCCGGTGCTGCCACCAGCTCCTGGGCTCACATTTTTTTGAAGACTGACCATGAGCATCACCATGAAGACAGGGGGGCCTGACTCTTCTCCCATGCATAAATTTGGATGAACAGAGGCTGAACAGAGCTGGATTAGGAGCTGATAGCAGTGTTTATCTTACAATACAAGTAGTACATTGTGTTTTCTTTTCATGCCACATAAGTTTCCTGCTAATGCCAAACCTTAAGTTTTTACCACCCACAAAGTCAGCAGGAGAGACACGCAGTAGAACAAAACCAACAAAAAAGGCCAGAAAAAAAAGAAAGTAAGAGACAACTGCAACACCTGCTTCTTTCTCAAGTAAGTCAGTCTCTAAAAGACTTGCTTCACATTTGACTCCCTCACGTTTTTGGAGGCTGCCATCTTAAAAATGCATAATTCATGAAATGCAAAATATAAGAGATCATCTTGGGAACTAGCAGACTGCACTGTATGCATTACTGAAGCACAATCCAATATTCCAGCATGTCTGATGGCACATTGACTATTTTACTTTTTTCCTCTATCCCTGTAACAAGGCCATCAGAAAGACAACAGTCTTCCCAAATTTAAACCTGACAGTGTGATTTCTTTTCAGGACATTCCTCTTCACCGTCTTTTTGGAACTGAAACTAGGACATAGTACTTGTCACCATAAAGTGACCAAATTTCATACTCCCATCACACAACACAATGTTCCTAGCTCCCAAAAAACAGGTATCCCCTCATTCAGAGAGAGAGACAGAATGTATGACCCCTGTGTTCTAACCCTTCTGTTGCCCACCTGTACCCTCCTTCTCCCTCTTCTGTTGGATCCAGAGCTAGGAAGAGAGACTCCTCAACTGAGAGATCAAGGCTTGGCATGGAGGTCCAAGTCTGCCTTTGTTCACTGTGTGCCTGCAGAGTTCTCTTCACAGTTGCATATTGCTTTTTTCCAGATTATATACACTATCAGTACTGAGGTATGTTATAGAACAGGCTAAGTCCCTCTTTTAAGGTAAAACAAGCAATCTTTCCCTTACACAGCAAGCACCAGTATGACACACACACATGCACAGACACCTCAACTGAATGAACCAAGAGGGAGACACAGAAAAAAATTATACAAATTCAATACCTACAAAAGATTACATCCCATAACAGCTTAGAAGAGAGAAATGTGCCTTTCTGAGTGGTGCCAATAGAGTACAAATTCTTTGATTTCCCAGTTTATTATCAGTGCTGCACCAAACAGAATTTAAAAATACTTAGAACAGAACAAACACATACCAAGATATGTGGGAAGTACTGCTGAATTCAATAACTATTTCATTGCAAAACCCTTCCTTTACAGAGCAAAGCAACGTCAGCTTGTTAAGCAAACCTTCACCTGTTCTAACAAACAGCTAGAGATGAGGATCTCTCCTTGGTATAATAAGAAAAAAAAGAATAATTTACAGGCAAAGATGGTAATCATCAGTGACTCATCAAAAGTTCAACCATGTCTTCTGATCAGATCTCAATTTCCACTCCAAAAAAATAACAAAACAGAATCTCAGCCCCAAACCTTAACTAGAATCATGTAATTAACTAGAAAATGGAATAGTTTTGGTATCACTGAGGCCCATCACTTGCAAGAAAGGTTTTATTTACACAGCTGTCCTGTGTAGGAGTCCCAAGTACTCTCTCAGTTCCTTTAATCTTCTTTCAGAAAAAAAATAGAACATCAAGGCTGGCAGCCTTCTTCAGACCTGATCATCAACAGGACCCAAACTGCTGGTGTTAACATACCTATCCAGTTGTGACACGTACTTGTTCCTACCGTGCAGCAACAACCATCCTGTGTTCTCACCTACTGTGTGGTTACCTAAAATACACCCTATTAGAGTTACGTTTACAAAACCAATTTCAGCTATATAATCAAGATATTAATGCATGCCCTAGCCTGCACATACCATTTTCCCCTCTACAAATGCCTACAAGAACAAAGGAAAGTTCAGTTCTTGATTTCCTGTATAATTCAGCTTCATTTTTAAGGCACAGGGTGCTTCAT